GATCTCGGTTTTTAATTGGCTAACTGACATCGGAAAATCACATGAACGGAAAATCGATCCTATGCCCTGGCGTTGTTGGTACATGCCGGTGTGGAATTGGGATGAAATTAATATATGTAGAAAAATGCTATATAAGCATCTTGAGAAAGAGAAGGTTAGCAAGTTGTTTCATAAATGGGGAGGAATCCCACGGTTTGTCTTGGAGAAAGCTAATGATCAAACTCAGCAAGATAAGCTTCTAGATGCAATTGCAAGATGCGATGAAAAGATATTTACTTATATTGAAGAAAGTGAAAGCGGAGATCATAAACTTATACATATTAATACAAACGTTTTAATTGAAGAAAATAACATAGAGCTCAAAAATAGCGATCCTTATACACAGAAAGTTCTAAAATTTGCATCAGACTATATAGGCGAAAGAGTGACTATAAAACTCGAAAAGACAATCAAGAGCAGATTGAACAATGAAATAAAATTAAGTTTATCTTGTGGCAAAAGTAATCAGTTTTTAGGCAACTGTTTCGAACAGATTGCTCAACGGATGTTGCGAGGTGGAGGAGAATTCAATGTTCGTTCTTTAGATTCTGATCAATTGGGAACTATCAAGTTGAATCGGCAGAACGAAATACTTATCTTTTCTGCTGTTGATGCAATCAATAATGGAGAGTACTGCCAACCGAACAATAAAAATTTTCCTTCAATTGATTCAATTATTGCTCCCAATATGTTATTTCAAATGACGACTACTCGAGAACATAATATCAAGATGATTGGTTTAATAAAGCTTTATAGCAAATTATCAAAGACGGGTAATATTGACTTATTTTTTGTTGTACCGGCAATTTTGTACAATGGTTACAAGAAACAGAAATTTATTAATGGTACAAATGGAATGCCGAATTGGATTAGAAATCAGGTCAAGCAATTTGTTCTGAAAATTGATTTAACGTTAAATTTTTAAAGATGATTTCTACGTTGGCCATAGTTATAAATATATAAATTTCTTATTTGTAAGAATCAGCATAATATATGAGTGCCGCCAAGGAAAATCCTGTAAATATGTCCCTTGGTGGTACAGTGACGATTGTAATAAAATTGACATAAAATACTAAATGAAAATAAGTAAATCGAATGTTCGTTATTGAATTATACTTTGGTGTAGTGATGGGACCTCACGCATTATTAATAATTAATAATAATTATTAACTAAAAGCCCTAGTTATTAATTAAAAAACTACTTAATAATGTATGGCGCAGCTATTTAGTATTAATAGTATTAATACCGCACAAGCGTACCAATATTTTTTTAACTAGCACTTGGATACACCCTTATATTGGTCGTCTCATTAAGCATGATACACCAACTTGATACATTTGAATTAAAATGTAATTACACAAAATTTTACAT